TAGCGCATGCCTGTAATTCTGGCTACTCGGAAGGCTGAGGAGGAAGGATCGCCGGAGCCCGGCAGGTCGAGGCTGCGGTAGCTGGAAGCGGCCACTGCACTCCAGTCTGGGTGACAGAGTGAGACTCCAACTCAAAAAAAAACAACAACAATTTTATGGGTAGAATCTGAAACCTCAGGACGCACTGATGTTACTTAAGGGGTCAGGAAGAAAGCACCAGCCATTTCCTGGAGACAAGCAGATTTCTGTGGGCCTTAGAGATGCCCGTCCAACAGGAAGCACATGGCACAGTGATGTGCACCACCATGACGATGATGAGGCCTCCACTCCCTGCCTCAGGAGTGGTCCCATCCTGTCTCCCCACCCACGTCAGGTGCCTTCGCCCCTGGCCTGGTCTCCCTCCAAGGCTCGGGAGGCTATTGTGCCTGTCTGCCGACCGTGGCGTGCTGCGTGGGGACTCACGTTCATGAACTTCTCATACTGGAGCGCCGACTCCATGGTGCTGCTGGCGTAGTCCAGGGTGTCCTTCCACGCGTGCAGGAGGAAAGCCAGGCGCAACTGCCGCGCTGTGGGGGCACAGTGGCACCCAGACCTCAGCGCTCCAGCCCCTGCGTGCCAGATAGGGTGTGAGACATGGGGCATCGCGCCGGGGCTCACCTGAGTGCTTCCTCAAGGCATCCTTGATGGTGACGAAGTTCTTCAGTGACTTGGACATCTTGCAGCCCGCGATGGTCAGGTGGCCCGTGTGGAGGAAGTACCGGACCCAGCAGTCATTTTCAAAGTAGGCCTGCGTGGAGAGAGATGGTGGCCACAGCCGTGGACTCCCAGGGTCTCCCTGCCTGGGGCTCAGGGGGGCTGCCGTGTCGTCCGCGGGAGGGGCTGCATTTTCTGGGTGGGGCAAGGGGGTTTGGAAGGACGGCCCTGAGCTAGCAAGACAGTAGGTAACCCTGATGCCACCAAAGGCCAGGCCGTTCACATGGTATGCCAACCACAAGACGAGGGCTCGAATCCCACCCGCAACCCCGACAAATGGGTCCGAGCGGAAAAGGCCTCCTGAGGGCCCAGCTGACTTTCCCACGTGGTGGTAGGGATGCCATGCCCGTCCAGCTGCAAAGGTGGCCCGTCCTCACCTACCTCTGACTGCGCCAGTTCGTTGTCGTGGTGGGGGAACCGGAGGTCAAAGCCGCCTCCGTGGATGTCCATTGAGGCCCCCAGGAGGGTGCCCGCCATGGCTGAGCACTCGATATGCCAGCCCGGACGGCCCTGGTGAGAGCCCAACAGTCACTGACTGACCAGCCCTCCGCCACCGGGTCTTTATTCGCTCAAGTTAACGGTCCTTAGCCCCTCTGACATTAATTGTGACAAGCATTAAGTCTCACACATGAAAAAGACAAAGGGTGGACCCTTTTTGGGGGGAGGAGTCAGAATCTCACCCTGTCGCCCAGGCAGGAGTGCAGTGGCATGATCACAGCTCACAGCAGCCTCAACCTCCTGGGTTTGAGCAATCCTCCTGTCTTGCCTCCCAAAATGCTAGGATTACAGGCATAAGCCACCACGCCCAGCTGATAGCCTTCTTTCATAAAGTTCAAAGCCAGTGTCGTGTGAGCTGCAGCTTTGCAGAAGCTTGTGAATTACTTCCAGAACCCCAGCACTGGAAAGTCATAGATGGCCACGTCCCTCCCCGGGCACCTCACCACAGGGACTGTTTTCATGGAGAACATCAGAGGGCATCTCCCCAAACTCAGAAGACTCGACCCAATCACAGAGCACCTGAGCACAGAGGCCTCCAAGTCCAGAAAACACAAGTCCCAGGGAGGAAGTGACTTGTCCAGAGACCCAGCACCTGGGGACCAGTGACACCTTCCCGCCCCTGAGCCCCACACCTCCTGGGCTGCCCACTCACCTTTCCCCATGGGCACGGCCAGGATGGCTCTCCTGGCTTGGAGGCCTTCCACAGGGCGAAGTCACTAGGCGAGCGCTTCTCACTCAGGCGGTCCACAGAGACACTGAGGTCACCTGTGAGCACAAGGGAGGCAGGGCGGGTCACCCAGCAGCACCTGGACCATGAGTCTAGCCTGAGGCCACCTGGGGTCTAACTGCCAGGCTCTCTCGCCAATTCTTGCTTATTTACTGGCTCTAGCATGTTATTTTTATTTTTTTTTTTTTGAGTCGGAGTCTCATTCTGCTACCCGGGCTGGAGTGCAGTGGCACGCTCACAGCCACCACAGCCTCGATCCTTCTGCCTCAGCCAGAACCCCCGGCGTGCACCACCACGCCCAGCTAATTTTTTAATTTATTGTAGAGACAAGGTCTCGCAATATTGCTCAGGCTGGTCTTGAACCCCTGAGCTCAGGCAATCCTCTTGCCTCTGCCTCCCAAAATGCTGGGATGACAGGCACGAGCCACAGCATCCAGCCTCCCAACACATCTTCAAGTTTACTGCAGAGGCCAGGTCATGTGCTGACCAGCGTCTACACCGGTACAACACTGTATATGAGCTCTGAAGTCACCAGTCACACACCAGCGACAAGCAGAGCCCACGGGCCTGATGCCGGAGCTGGAGTCCCCTCAAGACACTCGCCTTCCCACTGCCCTTCACAGCCTGCCAGCATCTAGAAGCATGGAGGTGCTCTGGGCTCAAGTTAGGAGGGGACGTGGCAGGGGGGCTCACTGGGCACAGCTCAGGGTGGCTTAAGCAAGGGGTCACCTCGTCCATAGCCTGCCCGACTGTCAGTTGATGGGATCCTGGCATAAGAACCAGGCTAAGCTGCCATGTGTGGCTTCACGGACCTGGAGGTGGTGCCACAGAAGGGGACACTTCCCATCCTCCATACTTGTAAGGGGACACAGGGAAGATGGTGAGGGAACGGCAGGAAGAACATGAGCTGGGGAGCACCACTCTTGGCTAAGCTCCACTTCCTGGACGCTGCCAGGGCCCACGTGGCCAATGAGACGAGCTGTCCATGCCTCATGGAGGGCGTGGTTCTTGGTGGATTCCGAGCCCAACTCGGTGACACTCAGCCAACGGACACAGGGGTATGAGATGGTTACTGTCGCCAGAAAAGGAACGCACTGTCCCCGCAGGAAACCTGCACTGCAAATGTGGGACCGAGTAGAGATGCCAGTGGCCGGGATCTGGACACCTGCGGTCAGGGTACCCTCTCATGCAGAACACCCGCCACCCAGGGAGTGGCGCTCTGGGGTCCTGCCTGGCCCCGCGTTCTCGGTGGTGCCCGGTCTAAGGGCTGCCTTTCCCTGGGCGCCGTTGCCCCCTCACGGAGAACGAGAGGGTCCTAGCTCAGCTGGCCCGCCCGGTGGACACTGCAAAAGCCATGTGACCTCTGCTGTGACAGATTCCCCTTCCAGGGGACTCAGCAGGCAAGAGACCCAAGTTGCCCTGAGAAGCGAGTCCAGAGCGCAAGCACTGCTAAGGGTGTTGTAAACACAACAACGTTACGATTACAAAACATGCGCTCCATGTGAATCCCTAGGGAGTAAAAGAATAACACTAGGAAAAGCTTTGCCATGATTTTTTTTTTTTGAGTTGGAGTCTCACTCTGTCGCCCGGACTGGAGTGCAGTGACACGCTCCCGGCCACCGCAGCCTCGACCTGCTGGGGTCCGGCGATCCTGC